AACTGTCGGACGAATGGCAAATGTGTGCTTGAGGGTGTTATTTAGGGGTTGAAGGCGTTCGATTCAGGATGCCTGTGGTCCAGCCAGATTGGCAATTTGCAGGACGATGTCGAAGTTCCTGACCACGGGGTGAAAGGTCGCTACGCGGGGGTGGCATTTATGGGTCGGCGGCGCCCGAATCCGCGGATGCCAGTGGACTGCCGTGAAAAAGGAGGATCTCGCTTTTCGGTTTTGCGGCTTACCGGCTGCTCTCCGCGAAGGGGCGAGCTTCCCGGAACCTCGTTAAATGCAATACCAGTAAAACAAGACGTAAACAGTGAATAGGCTCGTCGGCGGATTATCGATCCCGCGACGGTCCCGTCGAGTCTGCTACCGCAGATGTTGTCGAAGATAGCGGCGACATAAGACAGAGAAGCACAAGGTTCATCCCCTATACCTGGGTCTCGCAAGTTTTCTGGATTTGGACTGCTAAGAGCGGGGCCACTTCCAAGCCTCGCTTACGGCTACCGTGGCCTTCTTATTTCCCTCCCGTTCCTCTCTCTCCCGTCTTTTCCATCTTTTCCATCTTTCCCGGGCTCTCGTCGGACTCAACGATCCCGTCGTCCTTTCCCGACGGCGACCGCAGACCAGACCACCCGTCGGCTCGTTACTTATATAACTCTTTGTCCGGATCGATGGTCGACCGAATTAACGACAATATTGGTGGCACGATTAGGCCGGGAGCTTGTACTAAACTGGCTTTGTGTTGCTTTCGAACTGACCCTATTATCGGCGCCCTATCTCCAGGCATTTATCTGGCGAATCTCTTCTTTCTGCTCCGGGGAAACCTTCTCGAAACAGAGAGAGAGAGAGAGAGAGAGAGAGAGAGAGAGAGAGAAAGAGAAAGAGAGAGAGAGTGATCCTTTTACACGGTGCAAACAAAGCTCTGCTTGCCGGGGAGACAACGGTACTGGGATCTCGTGGGGCGATGCTCGAACTTAACCTATGATAATATTGTCTCTGCGATGATATTCTTGTCAGCTGGTATAATTCTTTGGATATTAGGGTAGACGATAAATAAATCAATAAAATACCCTGCCTAATAATTATTTGTCCAATCGTTAGTTTTATTTATTCGCGATTTACTGAGAAACGCTTGAGATCACGTGTTAAACTATACGACGTTGGAAACAATTAATATTATTGTTATATTATTATTATTATATAATAATATTTATATTACTTTATATTATATTATAATATTTTTAATTACTATAATATAATAATATTTAATTATTATGATTTTATAATATTTATATTACTTTATATTATATTATAATATAATAATAAATAAAATATACTATAATAATGAATATTATATGATATAATAATATTTATATTATTGTATATATTATTTTATATTATGAATATATTATAACATTTTTAATTATTATAATATAATAATGTCCAATATTTATTATAATAATGAATATTATAATATAATAATATTATAATTAATAACAACCGAACGGCGAAGCTTCCTGCCAAAAATATGACCGAATATGCTTAGAATTTTCAACATATTTTTTCATACACTCCTTCTATATGCCTTAATTTTTCTATAGATCTCAACGAAACATGTGAAAATTTTATTTAATCGCTATGAATGATAAGCTCTATGATAAGCTCTACTATATAAGCTCTACTATTGATAAGCTCTACTATTGATGAGCTCTACTATATAAGCTCTACTATTGATAAACTCTACTAAATAATCGCTACGATAGCTAAATAATATTTGCATATTTTCAATCGAATACATTCTCTTTGCACGTTAAACTAAAAAATGTTTATACCGTCCACGGCACATTAATTCCTGTCGCTTATAAAACGTTGAAATAATTTAACCAAGGCCCTCGTAAATAACGTTGCGCGACGGGGATGGATGAAAGCGTGATGGAGGGGTGCGCCTCTACTACCTTCTCGAGTTTATTCTCTGTATCTCCTCGAGTTGCCGGGCATTCATAGCCGAAAGATCGAACTCGAGCGAATGTTCAGTGGACCGAGCCTCGTTTCTGGCTTCGCTGCAATATGTCGAAAGAGAAGAGAGATTATCCGCGCGGCTCTGTCCCGAAGCGGCGGCCTTCGCCACACAAAAACGCGCTCCATTGTCTGTTACGTTCACGCACGCAAGAAGATAGAGGGTGAATAATAGGCGCAAGTCGCTTTGTCAAAAAGGCAAATGCAGCTAAACGACCCGGTAATAGGGCTGGAATCAAAATACAGTTGTCTATCGGGGACTGGGAAAATGTTCAGAACGCCGGAGCGGTACCGTCGGATTTTTTAACGTCTCGCATCGATTTCTAGGTGAACGTGTCGAGAACGTACGAAGGTGAACTTCATCGTTTTCAGAGGAATCGCATGGATCGTACATTTTGAAAGCGATGTAAGTCCATTCTCTTTCTTTTTTAACACTAGATTCACGGAACCCGTGAAAACGACGGGTCACTGATTTTTTCATTTACGATTGTTCATGTCGTAAAGATACATTTATTCTTTATTTATTCAATTTATAAGTTGCTTGCTGCAAATGTTGCAATAACAATTGTTAAACATTAGGATGACTGTCTCATTGTTATAAAGTTTTAATAATAAAGTCTTGAACATAAATTATCTTTTAAATGAACTTAACTGAATTTAGTGATAAATGAGATATCGCTTAGTATATATAATCACCACACATTCCCTTTTTTTAACACTAGATTTACGGAACCCGTCAAAACGACGGGTCACTGATTTTTTCATTTACGATTGTTCATGTCGTAAAGATACATTTATTGATTATTTATTCAATTTATAAGTTGCTTGCGGCAAATGTTGCAATAACGCTTGTTAAAAATCAGGATAACTGTCTCATTGTTATAAAGTTTTAATAATAAAGTCTTGAATATAAATTATCTTTTAAATGAACAGTCTTTATAAGTTAATATAAAACAGCTGTTTTGTGTTCCGTAAATTTAGTGTTAAATGAGACATCGCTTAGTATAATCACCATGCCAATTTCTGACCATGACAGTTGCACTCGTTTGTAGAAATACGTATATCGACTCGCGAAGCCTTTTTTGGAAACTAATCCGATATTTCCACCTTGAAAAAAGGAAGAATAAAATAGTAGAATAGAAGAAGAATAAAAATTCCGTCGAAGAACTGAACAATTAATATGATCGAACTCTTCCAGATTAGTATGGTCGATCTATTTATTATTAATTACAGGAGAGATCGACCGCATTTTTAATACAATTAGGGTCGCAGTTTCGATCGAGTATGTTCGGTCAAAGTTATTATATGGAGCATGAAGAAGCTTCTATCTCGAGCAGCACGAAAATCGTGCGAAGGTCAAAGATCCTGTTGAAACGATGAATGGGGATTCGCGGGAGGCGGTTGAGCAGAACATGGACCGCGGAATAATGCTTGTGCAGGCAGATGCGCCGCTTCCTGACTCCCTGACTCCATCTTGAATTATCTCATGGCCGCTCCCTTCCCGGCCGGAGCGCGCTCCCCTCGAGCGGAAACCGAGTTTGGGGTGCATGATACACGCGCACTCGCTGGCCGAGTGCACGAATTACGCGAGGAATCCGTCATAACCGATGTAATATCGCGAAGATTGGATCTCTCGATCGCGCGCACTCCGCATCACCCTGGTTTCAAGGGCCTTCTCGATGGTATCGCCCCGATGCGCGGACACAGCGCAGGAAACGCGATTCTTTGGTGTACGTGCGCTGCAACGAAGATCGGTATGATATGATAGTTCGAGGGAGGCAGGGGCGCGATTTAATCGAACGATTAATTAGCCGACGAGAAACGAAATAATTAATGTTATTCGATGCCCGAGGCTGCGCGTCTATTTGGGCATTTTGAGCCGTCGATGAGCTTACGGAAGAGAAGAACTTTATAATAATTATCCGACGCTAGCTGAAGAAAAAATAACGTAAGAATTACTTTCTTTGTTTATAATATTACTTACTTTCTTTATTTGTAATTATCCGACGCAAGCTGAAGAAAAAATAACGTAAGGATTTTTATTATAATACTTTCTATAGAAAGTATTATTCTTTATTATATTATACTTATATTATTGTATTTATTATATTATTTATATTATTTATATTATATATTATTATATTATTTTATTTATTATATTTATTATATTATTATACTTTCTATAGGAAGTATTATAGTATAAAATATAGTATAAAATATTATACTATAATATATAGTATATATAGTAAAATAAA